GGTGCTTCATGACCCATAATTGGGTCCCAAGCCCAACTTTGGGAACCAAAGTGCAGTGGTTCCCAAACTTTTCAGCTTTTGACCCACAAAATAACAGTAGCAGAGACCTGTGCCCCCAACTATTTTTGGTTGATAAACATTTGTATCAGGTCAACAAAACATGAGCATAGTAACAATATTTATTATACTACATTTATCCATTTTAAATACACTAACCTCACTCCTTTGTAACAACTAAGGAAAAAATGTAATTAATTCAGAAAATMTTTTCAGGACCCCACCTTGATGTTTCGGGACCCCACTTTGGGTCCCGACCCCAACTTTGGGAAMCACTGATATAGAGTACTCCCCCACCACATGAAATCCAGTCCATGTTTTCCCTGCAACCTTAATAGCAGCATGCTAGCAAGTTTACACACAGAGCCAGCGAAGTACGATAAATACAGATGAGATTAACATGTTGAAATTAAGTTTACACTTAAAAGGGTGTTGGGTTTTCATGACAGTTTTATAGTTTAAAACATAAAAGTGTTTAAGATGTATTTTCTACAGTTGTTGTTTTCAACAATGGTTTTAAAATCCCAGTTTGTTTCAGTGTAAATGTTACATAATGTAGGCGTACAGTGACAACAGACAAAACTAAAGTTAATTGTCTCACAAATTGTTCTGTTATCCTTGTGTCTAAAAGTCAACTGTATTTTATATCAATCAGAGTCTTTGACATCTGTATATAAGGTCTACTCATCAAATCTATATTCATCATTTGATCAGAAATAATAAATAAATAACACTGTAATATCATTATAACTTACAGGTTTTATTCATTTAGCAATAATATAAATATAAAAATAATAAAACTTTTATTTACAGTGAAATATATTGTATTAATAATATGTTGTAACCACCTTCAAACAATGTTGCAACTGTCCCCGGCCACGGGGTCAGTTGCAACATCTGACTTTTCATTTTCAAATGCAAATTGTGAAGAATGTACACGCTTTAATCATCTATAAATGGTTTTGACTATTAACAGACAGATGTAAGTTTACTGTATTAAAATTTGGTTTGTCTAATTCAAACCATCTCTGAGTAACAGAGTCAAATGTAAAAAGTGTTGCAACTGTCCCCGGTCTCCCCTAACTCCAGTGTCCAGTGTTATTTCAACACTGGGAACTTGGACCCAAATAATCACCAAGTTTGATGTAAAATTTACTCTTAAAGTGTCGTATAAACACTGAACATTTTGCTGTGAGTTGTGTCATCATGAACATTCTCTCTGTAATAAATCTGTAATCCTGCAGCACAGAACATGTATCATCACCTCAGTTTATATGGCTCAAATCTTGTGTAAAATTGAAAATTGCAGATTTTCACATGAGAATCTGAAAATAATCTTAGGGGGAAAAAACTTTCACTTTAGGAGGAAAGAAACATGGATCAAATGTAAACGTAGAAACACAGTGACTGTGATGAAAGACTAACTGTTTTGTATAAGAAGTTGCAATCACTGCAGGGTGTCAGGTCAGGACAATTTTACATGTTCAGGTGAGTTAATGTGGAAAGAGAAAATGTCCAAGTCCAGAATAAATGTTGAACTTCTCTTTGATTAGATTTGTCCAGTGAACAATGACATTGTCAGTATGGTTGTGAGTGTGTGTGGTTTTCCTCAATGGACTCACACTGCAACAACCAATTAATGAAGACTCCACTATGTTGATAAAGCTCAGTCTGAACGTCTGCAGTATTGTATAGTATTGGGGGGCCTCTAGTGGCAGAAAAGAGAACTACAAGAACACTAAACTACTAAACAATGACTGAAAAAACAAGTAAATAACAGTTTTTTGTACAGTGGTTGTAGTCTTGGTCATACAAATTTACATCTTTCTGTGTTAATAGTTTTATTGAAGAACTAAAGTATACAATACAAAGCAGTGGCGGCTGGTGGATTTTTCTCCAGGGGGGCTACAACTGAAAAATAGACATCTCAAAAAGAAAAATAAATTAAAAAAAAAAACTTGTACTAAGTTGTTTCACACCAGTGTATTTATTAAACAAATGAAAACAATATAAAACAGCATTACAATGTCACGTAGTCTTTTTATTTTTGGTACATAAATTTTGCTCTTCTATAACTGAGAAACAAATTTCTTCATGACTCTGGTTAAAGTCAGGAATGTTCTCTACAGAGCATGGTCAGTGCAGTGAGATGTGATGTTGTACCTGAGGAAAGTCTGGATTATCTCCAGTGGTCAGCTCCTCTCAGATTCAGCTGTGGATCAGAGGAGATGTGACGAGTCTTCAGCAGAGTCACAGTCTCTGAAGATGTCCTGCACGTTGTTCTCCATGAAGAGCTGGTACAGAGTCACAGCACCGCTGCAGCTCCTGAACTACATCAGACTTCTTGGTCCTGTTCAGCACTGGGTGAGCCTCCATGGTCTTCAGAGCTGCTTCAGAGAACTGTCCGTGATCCTGCAGGAACATGTCTGCATGCAGCAGTAAAGCACTTGCTTTGTGAATGTCTCAAGATGATGTCATAAAGCTAAACAAATTCACAAATTTAATTCAATATGGAGATAACTACAAGTGAGTTTTCTAATATATATTTAATTTACAGAAAACAACTGATGTTATTTTAATAGCAATAATAATGATGACAGTTTCTTTGTTTTTAAGGGTGCTGAGTTCAAGTTTTAGGGGTGCCTGAGCATGTATACAGAGGACAATTTCAAGATGTTTAGAAATGGATAAGATGAGAAGTCAAGTTTGTTTTTGATTTAAACATAAAAACAGCATTTTAATAACTGAAGGTGACATAGTTACTTTATTATGGTCTAGAATTGCAATATATGCCTGGGAAACACATTATATTGGCCCTTTAAATAACAAAACACACAAATCCTGACAGTACCTCAGGGCCCAAGTTGGTCTGGCCTCAGTTTTCCAAGAAGCCAAATCATCCGGATGTGCTGGAGGTTATTTTCTCATGTAATTTTCTCAGATGGAGGAGAACATGCAGCATGTTCTCATCAATCAAGTTTGAGTTAGGTCCCACTGTGGCTGGTTTGGACCATCGTAGCAGGAAAAAGAAGCAACACAGTTCATCGGAATTGTTCCTCAAATGAAGTCAAAAAAGGTTTAAAGATCTGTTCAATAAAACAATGTTCCATTACTTCTTCTGTCGATAGAGTTTAAAACAAAGGCAAGGAGTAAAACACTTACATGTGCCTTTGTTTTAAACTAAAACTGAAGCAGCACCAGTATGCACAGTAGATCTGCACATGGATCCTGCTCCTTCCTGTCTGTTGACTAATCAGTGTGCATTGCCAATGCAATGCACAATATTGTGGTTCGTTTCTCATCCAAGTCATCTCCACTTTGGCATGCTTCTCCTCCTGCATACTTTGTCCTAGAGCTGCCATCGTAATTTATATTTGTAAAGCTCCTGTGCCAAATGATGGCTATGACCTTTGGTGCGTGTACAACTTATATTTTTGGAAATATTAATGTTTAATAATTTATAATGGGAGTCAATGGAGCCTTGTATTGGTCCATTACTGCCCCTGCTGTAT